GTATTTAATAACGAATAACCTTCAGTATTTTTCATATTTTTGCTGCGACAGAGGCTTCTTCAGTGGATCGGCGAGATTGTCATTAGTATGCACTTTACTAATTCACAGATCTTTCTTCTTAACCATTTCCCTGATGAGATGAAAATGCCTAAGTATGTGTTTAGACTTCTGGTGAGATTGTGGTTCCTTTACTTGAGCTATTGCTCCATTCTTGTCACAATAAACTTCTATTACATCAACAATAGTGGAGACCACACCAAGTTCAGTGATGAACTTCTTGATCCAAATCGCCTATTTGGCTGCATCGGATAATGCGATATACTCAGCTTCCATTGTAGAATCCGCTACAGTGCTTTGCTTGGAGCTCTTCCAGCTCACTGCACCTCCATTGACCCAAAATACAAACCCAAATTGTGAGCAATAATCATCATTGTCTGTTGGGAAACTAGCATCATTGTATCCTCTTGCAGTGAGTTCATCTTCCCCTCCATAAACTAAGAACCTATCCTTAGTCCTTTTCAGGTACTTAAGGATGTTCTTGACAACTATCCAATGATGCTCACCTAGATCCAATTGATATCTACTACAAGTGCTTAATGCATATGAGACATCAATCCGAGTACATAATATGGCATACATGATGGATCCAATTGTTGATGCATATGGGATCCTCTTCATTCTATCTCTCTCATCATGTGTTTTAGGACACATATCCTTAGAGAGATAGACACCATGTGACATCGGAAGAAATCCCTTCTTGGATTCTTCTATACTGAATCTCTTTAGTACCTTGTCAATATATGTACTCTAACTTAGGCCAAGCAACCTACATGATCTATCATGGTAGATCTTTACTCCGAGGATGTAGGCTACTTCTCCTAAGTCCTTCATGGAGAAGCACTTGGATAATCAAGTCTTTACCAACTGCAAGTTCGGTATATCATTCCCGATAGCCATCAGGAAACTATTTTTATTTCTAACATAAAATTTTGTCAACCCTACTCACACCATATTAAATATAATTATATAAAAGAGTTTTGGTTTAAATTTCTTGCTTTCAAAGGAAATTAAGAAAGAAGTATTCAAGTTAAGAAAATTTGTGATTTAAACCACTTTTTTTTTTTTTTTTTTTAATGCATTTGTATAATGTACGTCATTTGTAGCTTAATTATTAAGAATTTAGTCTTTTATGTGCTCTTTAAACTCTTTAGGCGTCCACTTATGGTAAGAAATACGAGATTAATTATTTATATAAGTCTAATATAAATTTTTGATACAAATTCATGATCATTGATTCATAATAATCTAATGGCTTAAACATTGCTTGGTTGGCAATAAAAATTAAATAACTCTATCTTCTCTTCCAATTCCGTTAGATTACATTAAATAAATGGCTATGAATTTGTGTCAAAAATTGTTTTAAAATAGTTAACCCTATGTCTAATTTGATCAATAATCTATTAATTAGTTCAACTTCCAAGAGAACCTGGCCACAATTTCGCCTACATGAGCAAATTTTCAAGGAATTTAGAAACCCCCATATCTTTGTTGATTTATAATAAGCCACCAGACATATAACAACTACAACCTTAATCCCAATTTCGTTGAATCTTGTTATTGAGTTAGATTGTAAAATGTTTGTTTTGCCCTTTTCAATTTATTGTAAAATTATGAAGAACCCCCCATCACAATATTTTGGAACACCCTCCACCATGGCAAAAAGTGATGACATTGGCTCGAATGCCTCCAACAGCTCTTGGCATTATTGTAGAGCTTCCACAATCGGGCTACAACCACTTGAGGCTACAATAAAGTCACAACAAGCACAAGTATAGTGGAGGCCTTGTAGCAACGCCAATTAAGGCTCTCTCAACAACCACTCCAATTTGACTTTATCAACACTGAGAGGCAAGATGTAGCCTTATGGCATTATAGAGGCTATATTAGGCTTCCAAGCAATCAATAGAGGCCAAATTTAGCCTTGGAGTATGCCCTTCAGGCCATTATTGATTGTTAGAAAGGAGGAAGAAGAGGGGGGAAAAAAGAAAAAAGAAATATAATAGGAGAAAGGAGAAAGGAAAAAGGAAAAAAAGTAAGGGCAAAAGTGAGAAAAATAATAAAGGGTTTTATAAAACAAAAATGTCAATAACACTTTTCATTAAAAGTGGAAACATCAAGGATGAAGTGATTCACTAAAGTATATTAATCACCAAATGAAAGGTATTTCTTTTAGCATATGAGTAATCTGGCCCTAGGCTATGGAATTTGATGATGACCACATCGTAAACTATTATCTAACTAATTAGTAGCCCCAGTATTATTCTAAATAAGGACACAAATAATACGGTAAGGCTATCATAGTGGTGCACAACCCTGTCGAAAAGCAGTGACTGATCTCACTTGTCAAGGTGAATTGTTAACAACCTGGTGCAACACATGGGTGCTTTCCATAGGCGAGTTCACTAGACAGACCCACCAGAGGATTCCATATAGATGGTAACCCCAATGTCTATGGAATATATCCTCTAACGGATGATGGTTCATATGATCCTTAGACTTGAGATCACCAAAGCACTGTGTGTAAATATCGGTACTATAGCTTGACACTAGTCTAACGTAATCCTATTTAGGGTTATCAATAAAGTAGTGGTTGACTACATTGAGAAGTACACCTTGGCTATGGTGGATTGATATATTATTAATCACTCTTGGGTATAGGAGAATTTATCTCGCTAAGTAATTCGAACAATGGTAATGACCGTAAATCTGTGGCCATAGTGGAATTGAATTGTTGCTCAAATCCAATTTTGTTCAGTCGTTGGTCAGGTGACCAAATACAAATATGTCAAGGTACCAAAGAAGGAAAAGATGCCAAAGCCAAGGAAGGAAAAATTGCCATTTCCTGAAATACCACTAGAGTTGGCACACCACACTCCTCCAGTTCCTTTCCCTCAAAGATTAAGGAAGCAAAATCAGGATAAACAGTTTATTAAATTTCTTGATGTTTTCAAAAAACTACATATTAACATTCCTTTTGCAGATGCCTTGTAACAGATGTCGAGTTATGCTAAGTTCCTTAAGGAAATTTTGTCAAACAAAAGAAAGTTGGAAGAGGATGAAACATTGATGCTTACAGAGGAATTCAACGCCATTTTGCAGAAGAAATTGCTACCAAAGCTCAAAGATCCAGGGAGTTTCACTATCCCTTATGTTATAGGAGATGTTACATTTGATAGAGTTTTATGTGACTTGGGTGCTAGCATTAATCTAATGCCTCTTTCTATTTTCAAGAAATTGGGAATCGGGGAAGTCAAACCGACCATGGTTTCTCTTCAACTTGTCGATCGATCGATCGATTAAGCATCCATTGGGCATTTTTGAAGATGTGTTGGTTAAGGTGGATAAATTCATATTTCCTACGGACTTTTTTGTGTTGGATATGGCAAAAGACAAGGAGATACCTCTCATCTTAGGACGACCATTTCTTGCTACCGGAAGAGCCTTAATTGATGTGCAAGAGAGGAAGTTGAACATAAGGGTGCAAGATAAAGAAGTGACATTTAATGTCCTTGAGGCTCTAAAATACTTATCGAAGCAAGATTCATGTTTCAAAATCGACTCGATGGATCAGTCGGCAATTAAAACTTCCAGGATTGATGTCCTAAATTTCCATTTAAGGAATGCATGGTCAAGTCAAAGCACATTGAAGATGAAGATCATAAACCAAAATTTTGTACAATATACCTAGACGAGTCACAATCAAGCAAGTTTCTTCACAAGAGACAAAGTTGTAAAGATTTAGGTATAAGGTCATGGAAGTTGAAAGTGGGGCTGAAAAGGAATGCTAACTTGGAGATCACTTCAACACCTTCTTATTTCAAGAATGCTAATGGAAAGTTGAAGCCTCGAAAGGTGTTTATGAGAATGCTCGGATCCTAAAAGAAATGAACAAGAGATGGAAATGGGTGGTTAAGTTCTCAACAAAGACCTCATGTGCTAGGAATCATCAACAAGTGACGCCCCATTCCAAGGAAAATGTTTGGGGCGTGATGTATGTGGATAGTCTAGATTGACAAAGGACTTGAGAAAGTCGAGCTTTCGACTATAAACAAGCGCTTCTTTGGAGGCAACCCAAGCATTTTTCATTTTGCGTGATTTTAATTGTTTTACATGTTGCTTATGCGTTATTTGACTTAAGATGTGATTAAATTTTGTTTTCTTTTTGTGTTTCAGGTGAAAGATTGAATTTTGGCATGAAGAGAGAATTTTCAAAACCTTGCCACAACAAGTAGAACTTTTCACCGCAACAAGAAACACACTACCATCGTACTGCATTTTAAAATTTTCAATTTTTTGCTGCAGCAAGGAATAATTTTTGCTACAGTAGCGTACACAGTGTGATTGATATGCCAAATTTTCCAGATTTTTGCTGTCGTAAGAAAAAAAAAATTCGCCACGACATCGAGCAGATTTGACGCGAGATGGAAGAATTTCCAGAATTTCACCACGACGAAGTCGATTTTATGCTCTTAGAGCCTGGAGCCCCTTCAAGCTCGCCCCCAATCCTCTTTACTGGAGGCTGCGAGGTTCCAACCCCCGCCTGTTTGGCTATAGCCTTGGGTTGCTTTTTCTTGACAGTACAAGCTGCCATCTTCTTCTTTAGGTTTTGAGACTTCTTAGCCCACATGTCTGCAAGAACAATGAATTCATTAACATATAAAGAAGAAGAATGTGAAAAGGTGAGCTACTCCACACTTACCTTTCTCAAAGATTGTTGGAAAAAGTGTTGAATCTGGGCAAAACCCAAATGCTCTTAGATGAGGAAACGTGATTAGCTTCATCACGTCGCGATAACTCTTAGGAAGGTCCCTGGAAGCCCTTAACCATCTCTTGTGGTCTGCGACGATGTTGGTTTGCTCAACATTCTCTACAAAAGGAGACAAGGATAGTTAAAAGTCGACCAATAAATTCTTAATAGTAAGAAACAAGCAAGAATACCCATGGGCTTCGTTGGCAAAAGAGCCATCGCCACTAAAGCGATAGGAAAAATACTCGAAATCCCAGTTTTCGAGCTTCTTGGGTACATTGACCAACCTGTCCAAATGGGTCTATCTTGCTTTGGAGAGGTAGAGGGTGTCATCTTGACCTTTCTTCAATTTGTACAGACGGATGAGCTCCTTTATAGATAGTGATAAGAGTGTAATTTATATTTTTTTTTATTCCTTCCATATTATGTTTTTTGTTATGTTTTATGCCTAGTTGAGTTGATTAGAGTTTATTTTGTAAGTTTGGCATATTTGGATAGACTTTATGAAATAATTGAGAAAAGATTAGTAAATTCCAGATTTTTTGTTATTCTGACCAGTGTTGAATTTTTCAGGTTTTTAATGGAGTCAGATATTTCAATTGCAAAAGTGTTCTTTAGAAAAAGTAAAGTAGACAAATCAAGCCTTCCAGGAAGGCATTATGGGTGAGAATCCGAGTTCGTTTTGGCCCTCATTAGTTGTTGCAAAATCGGACCTAGAATCCTATTCGCGGAAGGATTTCCTGGCTGAGTATTGAGTCTTCGAATGGGCCTAACTGGAGCTTCAGTTATCGAAAGCAAGTGATTCAGAAGCCAAAATTCATCTACACATCTAGGACTACAACTTTTATGAAGTGATCGAGCCCAGAAAAGTTCTTTTACATTGTGATAATCCTGGTGCAAACTGGATTACGAATTTTGTTTTCCATAGCTGATAAGGAATTGACAGTTTTGGAAGTCTATTTTTCAGGAAAGGTCTAGGAAAGTAATTTCTGTTTTTATTGGGGCAGAATTGAGGAAAAACATGTTATTTATTTATGAGTTGTTAGGTTAAACAAGAGGAGGCATAACGACAGTGGAGGTTTTTAGTTTTTTACTTTCTATGTCAATATGTGCGGCTGATCTTTCTTCTTCAGTTCAAGGGGATTTTGAAGCCTAAATTCATGTCATTGGTGTAACTTAACTTCAGTAACATTGTTCTTAATCTCATTCTTATTGGAATTGTTTATGTTATTCTGTTTTAATTGTTTATGATTCTTGTTTGGGTGATTTAGTAATGGCCAGCTAAATTGTTTAATCGGAATTTTATCTGTTAGAATTAGGAATTGTGATACGTAATTGTCCTCTTTCTATTCAATGAGTAACACATGATGATAGATGATTACGGACAAGTTTTCAGTCTATCACCTTGAATAGCATAATCAAAGTTTAATAATCCGATCTTGCGTGATTGTTGCTTGGATTGATCTATTTTCCTAATTCTTAACGCTGCCATTGAATTAAACTTAGAGAGCTTATTCTAGGTTGTTCAAGGGTTAGGATCTAATTGAAGAACTTAATTCAGTAGTGACAATTAAGGGAAAATTCGAGTAACAGAGCTTGTTGTTTCCTAGGGTCAATAATTTTAGAATAACGAGATAGAATAATGTTACGGTTAGTTCATGTCCATGCATATTTAGGTGGATCTTGAACCGAGAACTGGTTGTTTTTAACCTGATATTTTCTACCATTGGAGATTTATTCGTTTCACTTTAGATTGCTTTGTCTATAACCCCTTTCATTATTTTGTTGTCATGTTTACTGTTTAGGATTTTATTTTATTTTATTTTTCTGTTGTTTTCATTGTGGTTATTGGTTAGAATATAGGATTTAATCGAATCATTCCCTGTGGGATCGACCCTTGCTCACCCTATATGCAATTTAGTAGTTAGGTTAGTAAGGTTATTAAATTGTAGCATTCAACACTCTACCAAATTTTGGCGCCATTGTTGGGGAATGTTCTTTGTCAATTTTTTATGTTCTATGTTCTTTTGTTATTTCATTTAATCAGTGTTTAGTTCTGTTTTTCATTTTGTTCAATTGTTCAATTGTGATTTTTAGGTTCTTGAAAAATTAAAAAAATTAAAAAAAAATGAACAGTAGTACTATTCCTGGGAGAAATTTTGGTTGAATTAGGAGTGATGTGAGTACTTGTTTCGAAGAAAACAAAATTCTGAGCAAGACTAGAAAGCATTCTAGCCCCATCCTCTCGTTGTCAAATTGCATCATTTAATAGTGTTATTGGCCAATTTTAGTTTCTGTAAAAAAAAATTTCTAATTTTTTTCTTTTTTTTATTAGTTTTTATTTATTTAGGCTTAATTTGGTGATTTCAGTTAGTTTATGACTCAATCCAATCCTACAGGAGAGTTGGAATTTATCCAGAAATCGAACACAGTTTACAGAAGTTGCAAAAAGAGGCACGTCAAGCAAGTTCTTCATCTACTGGTCTTAATATAGCCCTTAGTTCAGCATCCCACAGTTCATCCAGTGATCCAGATTTAGAAATAGAAGAAGATATGGCCACTGGCAAAACATTAAAGGAGTTGGCTGCCCCTGATTTTAATCAGCAGCCTTTGTGTATTCAGTACCTTACTTTAGATGTTGCTTTTGAACTTAAGTCTGGTCTAATTCACTTGTTGCCTACATTTCATGGTCATGCAGGTGAAGATCCAAATAAACATCTAAAAGAGTTCCACATAGTTTGTTCAAGCATGAAACCGATAGGGGTGACAGAGGAGCAGATTAAGTTGCAAGCTTTCCCTTTTTCATTGGGGGATGATACAAAGGAGTGGCTCTATTATCTATCATCGGGAGCAGTCACAACATGGAACGAGATGAAAAGGCTATTCTTAGAAAGATATTTCCCAGCATCAAGAGCTACCACCATCAGGAAAGAGATATGTGGTATAAAGCAATATAATGAAGAGACATTGTATGAATATTGGGAGAGATTCAAGAAGCTATGTCCAAGCTGTCCTCACCACCAGATAAGTGATCAATTGTTAATTCAGTATCTCTATGAAGGACTGCTGCCTATGGAAAGAAACATGATAGATGCAACAAATGGAGGTGCGTTGGTGGATAAAACTCCTGAAGCTGCCAAACATTTAATCTCAAACATGGCTGCCAATTCCCAATAGTTTGGTACAAGACAAGATGCACCACCCAAAAAGGTGAATGAGGTAAGTACATCTTCCATTGAACAATAACTATCTGATCTTACCTCTCTTGTTAGACAATTGGCTGTAGGGAATGCACAACAGGTAAAAGCTTGTGGGAGATGTTCGACAATGGGACACCAAACGGACATGTGCCCAACACTTTAAAAAGAAGAGGCTGAGCAAGTTAATGCAGCAGGAAACTTTCCTTGACCACCAAGGTAGTATGATCCTTACTCCAACACATACAATCCAGGTTGGAGGGATCATCCGAATTTTAATTATGGAGGAAATAGACAAGTAGGAGTTGGACAAAATTTCTTCCAAAATAGACAACAACAAGGTTTTCAATCGAAGCAACCTGCCTCACAGAGTTCAAACTCATCCCTGGAAAATATAGTTAAGTCCCTTACTTTGAATAGCAAACAGTTTCAACAAGATATAAGATCTAGTATTAAAAGTCTGGAGAATCAGATGGGTCAAATGGCAACTGCTATAAGTCGTTTAGAGGCTCAAGTTAGAGGGAAGTTGCCTTCTCAAACAGTGGTGAATCCAAACGAAAATATGAATGCAGTGACGCTAAGAAGTGGTAAGAAAGTGGAAGAACCAAAGCTGAACATTCCAAGTGTAGCAAAGGAAGAAGAAATTAAAGATGAAATTGAGAAAGAAGAGGCTACAACTGAATCAAAGGTAATTCCTAACCCTTCAATTCAACTTCAGTCTAATACTTTACCTTTTCCTAGCAGATTCGCGAAGTCAAAGAAAAAAGAGAAGGATAAAGAAATTTTGGAGATGTTTCGTGATAATCCGAGGATTATACTGTTTTATTTAGGCTTTTAGGCCGGATTTTAGATACTTCTTAGTTCATTTATGCCAGAATTGCTACTTAATTCTTTACATTTTGTGTTTCAGGCCAAAATGGACATTTTGAGCAAATAATGAGCGAATTGGAGTTTTTGGACTCAGAAGTAAGCGGATCTCAGAAGTTGGGAGAGTTCTAAAGCAGAGTAAAGCACTATGAAGCTTGTTCCCATAGGAGAGCATCGAAGATCGAAGATTCAAGCAAAGAAGCAAGCGGAGGGCAATTCTGTAAATCCAGAATTCTTCATGAAGATTCGCCATGGCAAAGTTTGTTCTTCACCGCGGCGAAATGAGTTACGCACGAGATTTAAGTATACTTCGTCGTCGCGGCGAAGTCTGCAAATTTCAGTTTCTTTAAAACGCACAGTTTCATTTTTAAGCAAAGTCTTAGGTTTTTGGGCGAAGTATAAAAGCAAAACTTTGCCATTTTGAGAGGGGGTCTTGATTCGTCATTTGGAAGGCAGCTCTTGGAAGGAGAAGATTATTGAAGATTTGGGCTTCAAATTAGCGAACATTTCTCCATCTTTTGCTTGTTTTTCAATAATGAATCTTGATTCAGTTTGTTTTTGTTATTTTATTTCGTTTTTTAGTATGAACTGAGTTGTTTAGCTAGGGTTTGATGTAACCTTGATACAATGATTCAAATTTATATGAATTGATTTACTTTGAGTTTTAATTTCATGATTGAGTGTTTATCTCTTTGCTTAATGACTTTTGGATGCTTGATCACCATTCAAATGTGTATTGTTCACAATGAGACTGAGAAGTGATTTGTGATTGTGCCTTTTGGGATAAATACCGTAGATTAAGCAAATGCTAGAGATAGGTTTAGCGATCTATGAAATCTAGATAGTATTCCATAAAGCTTAAAAGACTTTGAACTATTAATCTTCATTTTGTTGGGTACGGAAGCTTAATAGGGATAAGTAGGAAATGTAGCCTGAGAAGGTATGTTTTACAACTTAGGGAATTCGATTTTCAATCAAGGAATTAGAACTTGGGTAATAGATTCTATGATTTGGGTTAGCGTATCTAGGTGAAATCAACACCCTAGCATTTTTTAGCATTGTTTAATTAGTTTAGTTAAGTTGTTGGGTTTTGCTTTAATTTCATTATCATTCATTTATATTTTGTTAATTTGTATTTAGTTTGTTAATTTTCCATCAATCCAATTTATTGTTTCTTCAATTAGGACTTAAACTAGAGAAATCGGTACTTAGTAACACTATCCTCGTGGGAACGATACTCTACTTATCACTTTATTACTTTTTGCGACTAGTACACTTGCTACATTTGCATGTTTATGAAATCACGCATCAAGTTTTTGGCGAAGTCAAAGAAAGAAGAGAAGGATAAAGAAATTTTGGAGATGTTTCGCAAGGTGGAAGTGAATATACCTTTGTTGGATGCAATAAAGCAAGTGCCAAGGTATGCAAAATTTCTTAAGGAGCTATGCACCAATAAGCGGAAGTTGAACGGTGATGAGAAGATAATAATGGGAGAAAATGTGTCAGCAGTCTTCCAAAGAAAACTTCCTCCCAAGTGCAAGGATCCAGGTATGTTTACAATTCCTTGTAAGATAGGTAACACCAGAATTGAGAGAGCTATGTTAGATTTAGCAGCTTCGATTAATGTTATGCCACAATCTATTTATGCTTCATTAAATCTAGGTCCTGTGAAAGATACTGGTTTTATTATCCAATTGGTTGATCGCACTAATGCATACCCTGAAGGGGTAGTTGAAGATGTTCTTGTGCAGGTCAATGACTTAGTGTTTCCTGCTGATTTTTACATTCTAGATATGGATGATTCTTCTTCTCCTAACCCTGCACCTATCTTACTGGGAAGACCATTTCTTAAATACAGCTCGGACAAAAATAGATGTTCATTATGGTACCCTCACGGTGGAATTTGATGGTGAAGTAATTCGTTTTAATATTTTTGATGCCATGAAATACCCAACTGATGTTCAGTCTATTTTTGCTATTGATGCTGTTGATTCCATAGCACAAGAGATCTTTGAGCTAAATAATGCAGATGAGTTAGAGGTTGCCCTTAACAAACGTGTGGAATCAGAGGAGAAAGGTGAGATAGAGCTAAGTGAAGAATTGAAGGAGACAGTGGCAGCTTTACGTTCTTTAAAACCAATTCCAGAATGGTATGGAGTTTCTTTTATAAAGCTGCCTGATTCTCACCAAAAATTATTGCCTTCTGTTTTCCAAGCCCCTACACTGGATTTGAAGCCATTACTGGCCCATTTGAAGTATGTGTACTTGGGAGAAAATGAGACACTGCCAGTAATTATGTCGAAGAAGTTAACACCCAATCAAGAAGAGAAACTGGTTCGAATGCTGCGGGAACATAAGGAAGCGATTGGCTAGACCATAGCTGACATTAAGGGGATTAGTCCTTCCATATGCATGCATCGGATTTTGCTTGAAGAAGGTGCCAAACCAACACAGGAAGCGCAACGTAGATTAAATACACCAATGATGGATGTGGTGAAAAAAGAAATCCTAAAGCTTTTAGATGCTGGGGTAATTTATTCGATTTCAGACAGTAAGTGGGTAAGTCCAGTGCAAGTGGTCCCCAAGAAATCTGGTGTTACAGTTGTGAAAAATCAAGACAATGAGTTGGTCCCTACATATGTTCAGACAAGCTGATATGTGTGATTGATTACAGGAAGTTGAACTCAACAACTCGAAAAGATCATTTTCCACTTCCCTTTATTGATCAAATGCTTGAGAGGTTAGCTGGTCATATTTATTACTATTTTCTTAATGGATTTTCAGGGTATAACCAGATTGTCATAGCACCGAAGGATCAAGAGAAGACGACATTCACATGTCCATTTGGTACTTTCGCCTATCGCCGAATGCGATTTGGTCTCTGCAATGCTCCAGCCACATTTCAACGATGTATGGTAAGTATCTTCTCAGAATATGTCGAGTCAATTATAGAGGTTTTTATGGATGATTTTAGTGTCTATGGTGATTCATTTGATCAATGCTTATATAACCTTACAGTAATTCTAGACAGATGCATGGAAACTAACCTTGTACTTAACTGGGAAAAATGTCATTTTATGGTAGAGCAAGGTATAGTTTTGGGGCATATTATTTCATCCAAGAGAATAGAGGTTGATAAGTCTAAGATAGATTTGGTTACAACTTTACCTTACCCCGCCAGTGTGCGGGAAGTTCGATCTTTTCTTGGCCATGCAGGTTTCTATCGGAGATTTATCAAGAACTTTTCAAAAATCGCATTGCCCCTATGCAGATTGTTACAAAAGGATGTGTGGCTTTTCAGTTTGATGAGCAGTGCAAGGAGTTATTTGACAAGTTGAAAACATTATTGACGACAGCACCAGTGATACAACCACCTAATTGGGATCTATCTTTCGAAATTATGTGTGATGCGAGCAACTACACATTAGGTGTTGTCTTGGGTCAAAGAGTTGGCAGAGCTTGTCACGCCATTTATTATGCATCCAAGACCTTGAATGGCGCCCAGCTTAATTATTCTACGACTAAAAAAGAACTTTTATCTGTTGTTTTTGCTTTAGAAAAATTTCGGTCATATTTGTTGTGTGCTAAAGTCGTTGTTTTTTCTGATCATGCAGCTCTTAGGTACTTGCTCATAAAGAAGGAGGCAAAACCAAGGCTAATTAGATGGATTCTTCTACTCCAGGAATTTGATTTGGAGATTAAAGATAAAAAGGGAGCAGAGAATGTTGTACCAGACTACCTTTGCTGTTTGGTTCGTGACAAAGATGAGCTTCCTTTACGAGAAACATTTCCGGATGAGCAATTGTTTTCCATTGAAATGGTGTCACCATGGTATGCAGATATTGTAAATTTTTTAGTTACTAACATGTTGCCAAAGGATTTGACTATAGCTCAAAAGGACAAGATCAAGAGTGATGCTAAGTATTTTGCCTAGGACGATCCATATATGTGGAAGCATTGTGCTGACCAAGTGATAAGAAGGTGCGTACCTAAACATGAATTTATTCCTATTTTAACCTTCTGTCATACCTGTGCATGTGGAGGACATTTTGGACCACGGAGGATAGCTTGTAAGGTATTGGAATGCGGTTTTTATTGCCCATCATTGTTCAAGGATGCCTACATGTTCTGTAAGTCATGTGATAATTGCCAAAGAATAGGAAACATTTCTCGTAGAGATCAAATGCCACAATCTCCTATATTAATTATTGAAAATTTTTATGTCTGGGGCATTGATTTTATGGGTCCATTTCCTATTTCCTTTGGGCATGTTTATATTATTTTAGCTGTTGATTATGTTTCCAAATGGGTGGAGGCGAAAGCCACCAGAACTGACACTTCAAAGGTTGTTGTATATTTTGTTAAAACTAACATTTTTGTCAGGTTTGGGATACCAAGGGCCATAATTAGTGATAAGGGCACTCATTTTTGCAACAGGACAATGGAGGCATTGCTTAAGAAATACCATGTCACACACAAGGTTTCCACATCGTACCAACCACAAACTAATGGCCAAGCTGAGGTGCAAATAGAGAGATCAAGTCAATTTTGGAAAAGACAGTGAACCCAAATAGGAAGGATTGGTCTTTGAGATTAGATGATGCATTATGGGGATACAGAACAGCATATAAGACACCTATTGGCATGTCCCCATACAGATTAGTGTTCGGTAAGCCGTGTCATCTTCTAGTAGAATTATAGCACAAGGCCTATTGGGCAATCAAGCATTGCAATATGGAAATGAAGGAAGCTGGCGTTAACAGAAAGTTGCAATTGCAAGAACTTAAGGAGTTGAGGAATGATGCCTACGAGAGTTCACACATCTACAAAGCAAAGACTAAGGCCTTTCATGACAAGATGATCTCCAGGAAGAATTTTTCTGTTGGACAGAGAGTCCTTCTTTTTCATTCAAGGCTGAAGTTATTTTCGAATAAGTTATGTTCTCGTTGGGTTGGACCTTTTATTGTGACTAATGTTTTTCGTCATGGTGCAGTAGAAATCCAAAGTTGTGAAAACACAAGGTGTTTAAGGTCAATGGACATAGGCTTAAACCTTACTATGAAGGGTTCCAAGTTTGCAAATTGAGGAGGTAGGATGGAGATGGATACTGAGTAGTGAAGACGACGTAGAAATCAGGCTAACGACTTTAACCAAAGGCGCTGCTTAGTTGGCAACCCAAGAATTTAGTATTGATTTTCTTTTCCTTTGAATTTAGTTTTTTTTTTTTTTTTTTTTTTTATTTGCCTGTCTCTACATTTGGGTCTTACTTGGGGACAATGTAGTTTTAAGTGTGGGGGAGAAGTTAGGCTTTAGGTGTATGTTTGTTATGTTTTTTTTTTTTTTTTTTTTTTTTAAAAAAAAGGAGTTTTTGTTTTAGGAGTTTATGCTTTAAGTCATGTCTTTGAACGTCTAGTGATGCATTAAATAGTAACTTGACTTTGTTATTGAGCATTCCTTGACTTAGGTTGTAGCAATATTTCATAAATAGAGTAATCATTTGAATCTTTGTAGTTTTGAAACAATTAGTCTTGATAAGTTGTGCGAACTTGGTGACAAAGCATGATTGAGGAGTGTATACACCCTTAAAAAAAAAAAAAAAAAAAAAAAAATTGTTTCTCTTAAGCTAGTCCTAATTTGGGTTTAAGCAAATAGGAAAAAATAAAAAATAAAAATGTATGTGATGGGTCGAGATGGAGCATAAAACGCACTCACTCATAAACACAACCATGAAATGAGATGAGCGTAAAATGCACTCATTTTTTTTCAAAACAGAAAATATAAAAAAATTTCCCTAGTTTGCTACCCGTTTGTAGTAGTAAAGATCAACACTTTGCGGAAAAAGTTGAGAGGTGAGTTGTACATGAATTGGTTGTGATTAGTTTCCTTGTTTGCATTGACTGATTGAGAGTAATTTTGGAAAATAATGAAGAGAGATGAATGTCCTTAACTCAACTTTATTTTATTTTGTTGCTTCCTAAGTTAGGTATGAATATGCATGGATTAATTATTGTTACTTATGCATCATGATGGTGTTCTTGATATGACTTGAGTGTAGTTTTTTTAGTGTTTGAATTAGTTTGCCCGAGGACGTGCAAAAGCTAAGTGTGGGGGAATTTGATAAGAGTGTAATTTATATATTTTTTTATTCCTTCCATATTATGTTTTTTGTTATGTTTTATGGCTAGTTGAGTTGATTAGAGTTTATTCTGTAAATTCGGCATATTTGGATAGACTTTATGAAATAATTGAGAAAAGATTAGGAAATTCCATATTTTTTGTTATTCTGACTAGTGCTGTGTTTTTCAGGTTTTTCATGGAGTCAGATATCTCGATTGCAAAAGTATTCTTCAGAAAAAGTAAAGTAGACGAATCAAGCCTTCTAGAAGGTATTATGGGCAAGAATCTGAGTTCGTTTGGGCCTTCATTAGTTGTTGCAAAACCGGACCTAGAATTCTATTCACGGAAGGATTTCCTGGCTGAGTATTGAGTCTTCGAATGGGCCTAACTGGAGCTTCAGATATCGAAAATAGGTGATTCAAAAGCCAAAATTCATCTACACCTCCAGGACTACAACTTTTATGAAGTGATAAAGCCCAGAAAATTCTTTTACATTGTGAGAATCCTGGTGCAAGCTGGATTACGAATTCTGTTTTCCATATCTCATAAGGAATTGACAGTTTTGGAAGTCTATCTTTCAAGAAAGGTCTAGGAAAGTAATTTCCATTTTTCCTAGGGCAGAATTGAGGAAAAACATGTTATTTATTTATGAGTTGTTAGGTTAAACAAGAGGAGGCATAACGGCAGTGGAGGTTTTTAGTTTTTTACTTTCTACATCAATATGTGCGGCTGATCTTTCTTCTTCAGTTCAAGGGGATTTTGAAGCCTGAATTCATGTCATTGGTGTAACTTAACTTCACTGACATTGTTCTTAATCTCGTTCTTATTGGAATTGTTTATGTTATTCTGTTTTAATTGTTTATGATTCTTGTTTGGGTGATTTAGTAATGGCCTGCTAAATTGTTTAATCGGAATTTTATCTATTAGAATTAGGAATTGTGATACGTAATTGTCCTCTTTCTATTTAATGAGTAACACATAATGATAGATGATTATGGAAAAGTTTTCAGTCTGCCACCTTGAATAACATAACCGAAGTTTAATAATCCGATCTTGTGTGATTGTTGCTTGGATTGATCTATTTTCCTAATTCTTAAGGCTGCCATTGAATTAAACTTAGAGAGCTTATTCTAGGTTGTTCAAGGGTTAGGATCTAATTGAAGAACTTATTTCAATAGTGACAATTAAGGGAAAATTCAGGTAACAGAGCTTGTTGTTTCCTAGGGTCAAGAATTCCAGAATAATGAGATAGAATAATGTTACGGTTAGTTCATGTCCATGCATGTTTAGGCGGATCTTGAACCGAGAACTGGTTGTTTTTAATATGATATTTTCTACCATTGGAGATTTATTCGTTTCACTTTAGATTGCATTGTCTACAACCCCTTTCATTATTTTGTTGTCATGTTTACTGTTTAGGATTTTATTTTATTTTATTTTTCTGTTGTTTTCATTGTGGTTATTGGTTAGAATATAGGATTTAATCGAATCATTCCCTGTGGGATCGACCCTTGCTCACCCTATATGCAATTTAGTAGTTAGGTTAGTAAGGTTATTAATTTGGAGCATTCGACATGTTACTAGATAACTCGCCTATTTTTTTCTAAATGGTAGGCAATGTACATGCTTACCATAATTATATAAGAATTCCCCGTCAACTGAAGGGGAGCGACGTTGAAACGATCCAAAATGTCGAAAATGAATGGGTGATGTGGGATTGACATACCACACCTCAGGAGAGTCTAAAAGATCACCACCCAACCTATGAGGGAATTCTTCTGCAAGAAATCTCCTGGAGCTCGAAGCGAGTATACCCGCATTATCATTCTTGTCCCAACATAAAAGACTAGGACAAAATTGAGAAAGTATGTTAGATTTTGAAAGTTTTTAGTGATGCTACTAATAACATTTTCGGGAGTGACTATCAAACGTCAAATATGTTTCTAGTTGAGGCTTGTAGGGTTAAAATATTGTTGGATAAACATGCAAATGATGAAAATGAATTTGTTCGGAGCATAGTAAGAAGATGAAACGCGAGTTTGATAGGTATTGGGAGTGCAATTTGTTGATGGCTATTGTTGCTATCTTGGACCCTAGGTGCAAAATGAGAGTGATTGAGGGTGTTTTCCCCAAGATTTTGGTCATCAAGATCACGGGTACATGTTACAAGAGTTTGGGAGGCGTTGTATGAGTTGTACGGGGAATATGTTGCTGATAGGAAATCTTCTACTGATAAATTGCAATGCCAATGTAGGGGTTAGTGGCGGCAGTGGAGTGACTACGGAAGATGACTCTTCTGGTGTGTCGGTAGTATTGAGTTTAGTAGACACAAGTGATACGGTTGCGTCGAAAAAATCAAAGTTGGATTGTTATTTGGATGAGGAATGTTACAAGTGTCAAGAAGCTCATGATGCCTTTTACGCTTTAGCTTGGTGGAAATGGAATAGTTCAAAGTATCTTGTATTATCTAAGATGGCTTGTGATACACTAGTCATTCCTATAACCACGGTGGTTTCAGAGGCTAGTTTTAGTGTCGGGAGTAGAGTTATCGACACTTATCAAGCTTCATTGTCTCGTAAACTTGTATAAGTGCTACTATGTGTGGTGATTGGTATCGCATTCTTAACGAATTGAAGAAGGAGAGCAAAGTGAGTTCATTTATTAATTTTTTAAAGTTATATGCCTCCTTTATTTATAATTGACTTTTATTTTACTCTTTAACTTAAACTTTTTTATTTTTTCCTATATGCATTTTAGAAGGATATACAATCAATGGAGATGATGCTTCCTATCCCTTCAACTAAGGGGAATCAACAGATTGTTTGATCCTCCAACAGTCCAACTTATGCTTTATTGGTAGGTATGTTGGGTTATAATTAACTTATATATTAATTTGGATTTGAAATTGGAATTCGGAAAGAGATCAAATGGTATGTCTATGTGTTTTTTGTAGCACATAGTGATTTGTGACCACAATAGGCAAGGTATATGTTTTATTGTTTAAAAAAAAAAAAAAAATTTAGCACACAGGTTGTATTTGAATTGGGCCAATGCTATTCGATAAGAGATGATGTCTATAGAATTCTATTATAAATTGTGGACTGAGATGAAATGATAAAAGCATTAATGAAGAGCTGGGGTAACTTTGGTGGGCAGTCTTACTTAAATGTGGTCACAATGTGCAGCAAAAGACCCGACTTTTTTAGCACTATTTGCATTTTTTTAACTTCTATTCATATTTAATGTTCCTGATTGCGTTAGCACAAATTCGATTTGATTATAGGATGTTTTGGAGAGTGGGGTTCCAGTTTTTAGGTTTTTAGGTTTCTAGATTCATTTATCACCATTCCATATAAAATTATAAAAGAAAAGAAAGGTTGCAAAGTAAAATAGAATTTTTCTTATTATCTTTCTACTGTTACAGTCATGCACCAAGCAACCACCATTAACTAGTGGCTACAGCAAAATGCCTCAAAACATTAAGAAAACTCCTTATCCAATCAGTTATAAATACAATGAAATGTTTCAGTTCATATAAGAACAAAACTAAATATCCCTACTTCTCTAAAGAAATTTCATAACATCATCTAACCAGCTGAATAAGAACCAGCGTAATCAACTTCAACGGTTCTCCAAAAACCACAAATCACAGGAAAAACAAGAAATGCCCTCCCTCATTCTTCAAGAGAACATAACACCTATCTTCTTAGCAAAGTCATCTCCATCTTCATCATCTAAATATTCATCTTCTGCCTCTGCATTTTCACCGTCTTCATAATTATATTCTCCATCAACCTGCTCATATTCATACTCCCCATCCTTCTGATCATCAGCTTCAAGCTCATGATCTTCCATTGCTTCATCGCCAATCATCCCTTCTTCAGGCTGAAGCTCACTTCCATTATTTAACTGGGAAGGCTCATCATGGTTAGCTTCATTTTTCCCTTCAGTCGCTCCAAAAGCATCAG